GTTTCGGCAGTCGTGCCTTCAGGTCCTTATCAAATGCTTGACGACCCGAGTAACTGTAGTGGGGTAGCTGAATACTCCAACATGATGGACCGGTTTAAGACTATTTAAACGTTGTCGTAATAAAAACAAATCTAGGAACAATAAAACCATGCGAATAAAGTGACACTTTGATAGCAATATAGAGACACAGTATGCCCATAATGTCACCCAGTCTGATAAAGATTTATGTGGGAGATAGCTCACTGCATTATATGCGTTACATAGTATTAGGTTTTGATAAAAGATACGGATGAAATAGATTCAGGCCGGGTAATCCTGTCCACTCAGGCGGTCTCCGATTGAGAAGTATCTAGAAATAACTCACATATTAGCAGCCTCATCCTTCAAACTTAGAAAGAAGAAACAATAAAAAAAGAAAGATTCTGATATTTCAGCGGTTCTAAGTTTCTAATTGTGGTGTTTAACAACAGGTGGTGGCTTCATGTTCTTAACAGTCTATGGACGTTTTCTCTCTGTTTAGAGTGGCAAAAACAAAGCTTCTTTAAATATTTATCTTGTTGATTAATACTTTTTTCTTGGCTAATGACCTTTTAACTGTTTTTAAATCTCTTTTCTGATTATACGTGAAGGAAGATTTCTTGCTAATGATATTTGAAATTTATTTTCTAACAGTACAACATTTGATCTATTTTCCAAAGTTTTACAATATTATATCTTGATGGCCAAATGGTTAGATACAATAACTAGACCCAAAGAGTTATGAGTAACGGTGAAGTAATGGATAGCGGTTCGAATTCCAGTCGAATCCATTACATTCACTTACATGCTAATACCCTTGGGAAAGGTATGAATCCTCTTCTTCTCCCCATCCCAGGTATGTGTAAATAGCAGGACAGACCGGGTTCTATAGCCTTGGATGGCAACTGGTCTAATGTAGAAAGAAATGGCAACCTACTTCGGGGAAAAATCTACCTCGCCAGTCATGTATCGAAAGTATCAACTAAGCGTGTATCACGCATGGGACGTAACTGAATGATCTTGCTTAAAGGTCACACACACACACATACAGAGACATTATATAAATATATATATATATATATATATATATATATATATATATATATATATATATATATAATAAAATATGTAACGTTTCACGAATTTGCGTGTCATCTTAAGGTTTTTCAAACGAGTATAATATATATATATATATATATATATATATATATATATATATATATATATATATAAGTGGACCCTGTGGTCAACACCGACAGGCGATATTCCACTTCATACCTGAGTGCAATCTTAAGACCAGAAGATTGTGTTCAATCATGAAACAGTCTCTTGCATCGCAGCATTGGACTCAGTGTCCACTTTTATCTTTGCATATGGTCTGTCCCAGATATTGAGCACTTTTACCCATGAATATAGCATGCATTAAAACTATATTTTATATATATATATATATATATATATATATATATATATATATATATATATATATATATATCCACAACGATTTGAACCCACAGAAAAAGAAAAAAAGATTTAGATAATTAAGACATCATTATACCTTGAAGGCAACCTTTTCATCCAAAACTTTATCAAAAGGTGGACGTTGATGAATGGAAAAAAATAATGTAGACACAAATATAGAAATAGCGAATGAGGAAGGGAAACTGTAACACGTTTAAAATAGATTTCAATTGTAAACAACTCAATGATTAAAAGTAGATAATAAAATGTTCCGAAAAAGAGTATAAAATAGAAAAATCTTTTTATTATTAGCTTTTAATCCTTCATTTGTTTTCATTTAAAATCTATTTTAAACGTTTTACAGCTTCTCCTCCTCATTCAGTAATGTGCCTCCATCATTTGGTTCTATTCGCCAACGTCCATCTTTTGATAAAGTTTTACCCGAAAAGTTTGTCTTCAAGTTATAATGACGTCTTTATATATATATATATATATATATATATATATATATATATATATATATATATATATATTATTATGAAATGGACAAAGTCCGACAATAATTTTAAAGATATTTTTAAGTTTAACATTCTTTTTATAGATAAAAGTCAAAGGACGAATATTTTCGATGAAAATTTTCCTGGCTTTCAGCACGATAAATGTTGTTTAATACTGTTTATTATAAACAGAGCATTTACTATAATACTTGTATCTATAAAAAGAAAGTTAAACATAAAATGTCTTAAATAATATATATATATATATATATATATATATATATATATATATATATATATATAATTCGCAGACAGTACTGTTTCGCTGTATCACAGCTCCTCAGTACTATAGACAACCGAATTCCTCAAGCCTAGATCGAAACCAGTCAGAGCTTCTACTACTGAGCCATCTTCACTCGACAGATCGACCCAGCCAAATATAGCGTATTGTTTTTACAAACGTAAACAAACGCCAAGCAGCCATAGTGCTCCATTCATTTTACTGAAGAGCTTCACATTTACGGAGGTTACCGTTGTTTTTTTGTTTTTTTTAAAAATTAGCTTGTCATTCTACAGTGCTCAATTGAAAGTATATTTTCAAGGGCTAAATGATATATATATATATATATATATATATATATATATATATATATATATATATAATGTGTATGTGTCATAATTTCACATCAAGCAAGGCAATAAACTCACCATGATGCAAGAGGTTACTGAGAATGGAAGAAACAAAGAAGACGACAAAAGAACAGGTTTCAAGGAATCAGAAGATGACGCTTGACATCGAATTTGATTTGATGAAGGCCATATTTGGCAGGAGACCAAGATGGCGAAAGAGAGTTCTCCACGCAAAAAGTGCAATTGAAGTGACAAAAACCACAGAATTTATAGCTACAACTAGCTATTTCAACATTGTAATTATGTGACATAACTGCCAATCTAGTACTGTGCCCGTGAAAATATTTATAAAGAGAAGCAAAGAGACGCTACGTCAAGGCGGTGTGAATGTCAATGAAGCCATGATGCCAGGTCAGGGCCAATAATGCTGCTGATTCCTTTTTGATTTTCGTCAAGAATATCTAGGCACGTAGCAGAAGCACCAGACCAGATTTGGCAACACTATTCGATACGCATAGTATAGTTATATATTTGCAAGACGGATTATGGCAAGAAGAATTATCTAGCACGTTATAGTAAACCGACTTTCCTACCAACAGACCTAGCAATTGATTCACTTATTCTACTTCATGTCAGTGGCAAATGTAAGCCGAAGTAGGCACTGGGAGTGTGTCCCATGGAGTTTAGCAGCATCGATGAGGGTGGAAGGAAAAACTTCTGATTAAAATGATTAGTAGATAAGTGTTTCGTTTTAGAAGCGTTCTAATTAACAAGGCACGTCCAGCCCCAGTTTAGGTTGTAGGTCGTTTTCGATAGCAAGTTGATTTTTTATTGTACCTATCATACTATTAAGACAGGAGTAAATAGTTGCCTCATTCGCATAGATACAGAGTGGCGAACTGATGACATTAAAAATCTGGTTGATGAAAATAAGGAACGTAGTGGGTTCACGAACAGACTCGTAGGGAACGCCTGTATTAATGCAAAAAGATCAAGAGGAGTGGCCGTTCAAAACTAAATGCATTCTGTGATTTTTATAAGATTGTATTTAATCAAAGAAAAGGTCATGAACACCATAACCCTTCAACTTTTGAAAAAGGCCCTTGTCAAATATCTTTGCGATATCTAAAGTTACAGCCCGAACTTCGCCATCCTTAACTAAATCTCAACAGACACATTCAGCAATAAACTTCAACATATAGGCAGCTAACCTCGAGAAAAGAAAGCCAGATTATTTGTCTGAAAGAAGACGGTGGAGTGAGGTGTATAACCAATAAGGAATTTATTTGAACATCGAGTATTTTGTCAAAGAGAGGTAAAGGAAGTAAAATGTCCGAAGGACCAGAAGTTTCGTCAGAGTTCTTAAAAACTTGAACTACAGAAGAAGGTTTCCATGAAGCTGTAAAACAAAAAAGCAGCAAAGCATCTATTGTAGAACTTAGAGAGAACAGGGACCAGTTCTTGGGGTACTTTTCTCAAAGACATTTGCAGATATATCAAAACCTAGGTGTCTCATGGCGGATCAAGTATAGAGATAGAAGCTGGTAGTGATAGGTGGGTACTAGCGCATAAGTGAATGTCACCAACCCGACAAGAATTGGAACTCAGTTCTCCGATTTCTCATTCCGATTCGTTAAGTCAATTGCACCACCCGCACATCCAAGTTTAGAGCACTTGGTATAACCAAACGGACACCGATCTCTGTACTGATCAGGCTCGATTTTCTGTGACAGAACGTGAACCGTTGTTTCAACCTGCATCATAGAAGAAGGTTGTAAGTGAATATAACGAGACTGACTGGAATTAGAACCCCGCTCTCCTTTTGTGGCCGTACCCATTACAAGTCCCGCACATTTAGGCTTAAGAAAGCTGGTATTCCCAAGCGTCATCTCCATCTAGGTACTGACCAGGCTCGACGTTGATAGACCGAGAATCGTTCCTGAAAATGAAGTGCAAAGTCTATTTTCGTATCATGTGGTTTGAGCCTACTATGTATTGGCGTGTCACTGCAGATCTACCTCTCTTAGAACAAAGCTTCCTTATTAGATTCGATTTCTCGGCTTGAGTCTCATAATACAATAGGAAAGCAAGATGATCTCTTATTAGCCTCGTGTCTCGTACCTCACACGTCGGCTAATACGAACACGAGGTCAAATCTCTCATTAGTAAGATTATTATTGTTGTATGTCAATAGATCTCGGTGAATGACTGCGTGTGGCTTTCGGATATTTTCTCCCAATGTTGACCGCCATTTTGTGAGGATGTAAGAGACTTTCTGTCTTTCCCGCCCCACTCCAGTGCGGTGCTTGACTTCAATTAAATAAACTAACATCAAAACAAACATTTCTTAAGCCAATTACAGCAGCGACTTACTGAAAACCCTAAAGCTTACAGGCATATCATATTGAAATACCGACTCCTGTGCGATCACCAAAGTTAAGCAACATCGAACCAAATCAGTACCTAGATGGGTGACCGTTGGGGAATGCCAGGTGCTGTAAGCTTTGATGTGCGGGTAATGTAGTGAATAATGTGCGGGTAATGTAGTGAATAATGACTCGGAATTATTAATTGGGGAGATGAGTTCATATTCCGGTTTGGTTTGTTATTTCACAGACTTGTATCCCTAAATAATAATCATTTTAAAAAAAAAATTCTTAAAATCTAAAAATATTTTCTACGTTTAAATAGATAAGTCGTAGAAAACGATAATTTAAAATTTGATAATTTAAATTTGATAATTTAGTAATAATTTGATAATTTAAATTTGATAATTCAAAAACGTTTAAATAGATTAGTCGTAGAAAACGATAATTTAAAATTTGATAATTTAAATTTGATAATTTAATAATAATTACATAATTTAAATTTGATAATTTAAATTTGATAATTTAAAAACGTTTAAATAGATAAGTTGTATAAAACGATAATTCCAAATTTGATAAATTAAATTTGATAATTTAATAATAGTTTAATAATAATTACATAATTTAAATTTGATAATTTAAAAACGTTTAAATAGATAAGTTGTAGAAAACGATAATTCCAAATTTGATAAATTAAATTTGATAATTTAATAATAGTTTAATAATAATTACATAATTTAAATTTGATAATTTAAAAACGTTTAAATAGATTAGTCGTATAAAACTAATCAATCAAAAAATGAATATTGCAAATACAAATTGAAAATCTTCGCATCTTAAGCTTGTAGTAAAAATAAGAACTAATACGGCAGAAATTTATAGAAACAAGGATCTTTTCATTCATAACGGATTCGGAGGTTTTTGTATATTATTTGAATTGTTTGCGACGATGGATTTCTCTCCAATTAAATCATTAACCTTTGCATTTGTTTTTGTGTGAATAATTCATGAATTTGTAAATTGATTGCACGTTTATCGAAATTATAATAAGTGATCCAAGTGCGACTTTTGGATAATAAGTGCGACATTACTGTAATTATTGATCAATATAGTTCATGCCACTTTGACAGAAAATTTAACAGTAAAAAAATTCGTTCATCACCATATTTGCATATGAACGCACAACTGTAAAAAATTTAAAATTTAAAATCAAACTCAGCGTTGCTACTGCACGCTCCAAAAACAATAACTCATTTACAATAGCATTTTCGGATACAACAATACATATATTTTCGTTGTCCTCTTATTACTAAGAGAAAAAACAAGAACAACATCTATTCCATACCTGAAGATGTCTGTAGGAACAGACGAAAGCTTGTAGTAAAAATAAGAACTAATACGGCAGAAGTTTATAGAAACAAGGATCTTTTCATTCATAACGGATTCAGAGGTTTTTGTATATTATTTGAATTGTTTGCGATGATGGATTTCTCGCCAATTAAATCATTAACCTTTGCATTTGTTTTTGTGTGAATAATTCATGAATATATATATATATATATATGCGTGTATATATGTGTATATATATGCGTGTATTTGTGTACATATTTTATATATATATATATATATATATATATATATATGCTTGTATTTGTGTATGTATACATGTATATATGTATGCTCGTATTTGTCTATATATGTATATATATGCGTGTATTTCTTTATATATATATATATACGTTTATCTGTTTATACATGTCTATATATGTGCATATATATGCGTGTATTTTATATATATATATATATATATATATATATATATATATATATATATATATATATATATATATATAAAAGTGAACATAAGTCAACACTTAGTGGCGACAGTCTGTTTCATGCTATAAGCAATCGGTGGCCTGACGATTGGATATAGCATGAAACAGACTGTCGCCTAAGTGTTGACTTCTAAGTTCACTTTTATATTTACACGCTCTATCTCTGATATTGAGTACTTTATTCCATAAATATAGCACATCTTAAGACTATATTTATATATATATATATATATATATATATATATATATATATATATATATATATATATGCATTTATTTGTCTCTCTTTTGTGGTGCCGATATATTTCCCTGTCATCCAATCCATGTTTCATGCGCACATCTTAAATACAGCTGCTCTACCCACCTGTTTATATGTCAGGAGCATCTAATGACATCCTGTGAAGTGCACATCTTCCCCCGATGGCTAAGAAGACACCATCCCGGACAATCCACTGATGCATTTAACTTCTCTGACGCTCTGGTGTGACAATGAATGTAAATCTCTTTTGATATCAACCCAATAGATATTGGGATCTTAGAACAAAATTTACATATTGTTATTAAGTTTGATTTGAACTATCTGGTAATTGAACCACATACTTCAATACTATAGCAAGTTCAATCTTTTATCCATGTCTAGTTGTCGCATTCCTGTTGCAGACTTTACTGGGGGTATATCTAATGTGCCTATTATAGAATAACTGTTATAATACAAGGTCTGAGTTCTACCTTAGGGACTCTAGTATTAACATAAACAAAATACAAAGTTGTCTCCTTGTGCCAGACTAAATTATGTTGGAAATTATTTACTTCTTGTGTCATTTCAAAGTGGGTAACGATTAAAGAACTAATCTAGTTAGTGGTAAGTTCGATTATCACTAGTGCTCTATACATGTGGCCTCATGCCAAACTAAGCTGATTTAAGTAAATGACGATCTCGTGAGGCTGCAGTAAAATTGTGTTTAGAAAACTTACCTTTGTTTGTCTTGATCATGCATTCTATCTTCTTATAATTAATTGTTAGACCTTTCTTTTCACCTTAAAATTTCGTTGGAAACAAAGATAAGTGCATTCATCTGTTATGCATTATCAGTCCTCCTCTGTGGCAGTGAATGTTAGATAATTTCCCCACAGATGAACAAGAGAGTTGTGATAACTTAGATATGGTTCTACAGAAACCTGCCGAGAAACATGTAAGCAACGAAGAACTTTTTTACGGCTTATCAACAATTTTTGCGTTTTTTCAAACCAAAACTTATTTTGGATTCTAAGAATAAGTCTTTTATTAAAGAGTAATTATTGTAGTAGCAATAACGATGTTGCTTTCTGATACCAGTTTTACTACATATACTCACAGATAAGAGGAGGCATTTGCGGGTAAGTGTATGTAACGAACCCGACAGTAATTTGAACTCGGCGCCCTGATTTCTTATTCCGAGTCTCTATCCATTGCACCACTTGCACACCCGCAGAAGCTTTAAGGAAAATAGAAACGAAAAGGACACGTTTGCTTAGGATCAGAAAGAGGGTGTTGAAATTTCTGGTGCACGTAATGAGGAAAGGGGGCTTGAAGAATTTGACACTCACAAGACGGAAAGGTGAAAAGGGTAGAATAAAGATTTGAATTACATACCTAATGTGTTTTTGAAATGAGTGTAAGGTATAAAAGAAAAGAGAGAACAATGATTTTTTTAAAGAAATAAATAGATTTTTAATTGAGTAATTGATAAAAGTTCAAGTAGATGGATCTTGTCAAGCTTGATAAAAGTTCAGGTAGATGGATCTCGTCAAGCCAGGAATGCAGTCCATCTTGGAGAAGGAAACATGAGACCTTAGCGCCAATCTAGTATTGTCTTTAAAGCCTAGGTAGCATAGCAGAAAGTTCATCAGAACAATTCAGTCAGTCAGTTATGTGCCATACGTGATACACGCTTAGGCGATTATGTATTTTTCGATACATGACTGACGAGGCAGATTTTTTTCCAAAGTAGATTGCCATTTCTTTCTGCAGTATACCAGATAGAACCCGGTCTGTCCTGCTATTTACCTATAGCTGGGGTGAGAAGAAGAGGATTTATAACTTTCCCAAGTGTAAGTGAATGTAATGGATTTGACTGGAATTCGAACTCGGCTCTCCGATTCCTCAATCCGAGCAGCTATCCATTACTCCACCGTGAACAATTACCATGGCATAATTTAGAGAAAAGCTACAGGGAAGGTACATTAAGGTTGTGGGAATGCGATTGAAAGCGAGATGCCAGGTCATGACCACTAACAATGTGGATTCTTTGGATTTTAGCAAGAATATCTAAATATCTAGCAGGAATCCTTCAGTTGCAAAGTATTGTAGCATTAATATTAATGATAGAAATAATGGTAAGAATACCCATTCCTTCCCCCTGGTGGCATTATTTTTGACAAAAAAAAGTTTGTTTTGATATCTGATATTTGATTTTGTGCGGATTGTCTATTGATGCTTTGTTTTTTTAATTTTTTTTTTTTAAGATTTGAAAAATTAAATACAAGATCGCTAATTTATTGTTTTTGTTTTCTGTTTTTTTTTTCTTTCATTTCATGACGTCGACGAAATGGATGATCATATGCGTCTATAAACGCCACCTAAAAACCTCTTTGCGGATCTACGTGCATTGAATCGTCCATACTTAAACGTGAATCCTTTGAAACACGCACGCACTCCTTTAATATATACGATTCACTATACGTGCATACACATACAAACCAACAATTTTCTGTTAACACACACACACACGCACGCACGCACACATTTATAATGTCTTCTATTCATTATTATCTATATGAATTATTCTTACTTTTTTATCTTAATCTTCTGTTTCATTACCATACACCTGTATATATATATATATATATATATATATATATACATCTATCTCACGCACATACATGCACACACAATTCATACACACAACTACACACGTATCTATCTACCATATACATACATGCACATCCACCACGCACGCGATCATACACACATATGTACACATTCATATATACCTGCATTTACATCTTTCACACATAAATTTACGTACACACACATTGTTTATCTTATACTCTCTCTCCTTCCCCACGCACCTATACACCCACATGCATATATTATATACATATATATATATAATCACCTGAAAACACTAATTTGTCAAAAATAAATTAATCTATATTCTCTACCCCTACAACACGCACACCTGTTCTTACATATATCCCCGCCCATCGCCTGTTGCGTGCCGTCTGGTCGAGTGCGCCTATAGTCGAAAAAGCAAGATGTATGGACTCCTAATGCAGTCAGTTGTAACCTACCTGCAGGACACGTACGGCGAAAAGATGTGGGAGGAGATTCGTCGCCAAGCCGGTATAGAGCATCATAGCTTCAGTCTTCATGAGCGATACAAAGAAGACATAATCGCCCGAATAACTAAGGCGGCCAGCAAGTGCACAGGCATCGAACCGGATACAATTATGGACTCCTTCGGCGTCTGCTTTGTTAAGTACGTGAGCCAATATAATTACGATCGTGTGTTACGGGTTCTCGGTCGCAACTTACGGGACTTTCTCAATGGTTTGGACAATCTTCACGAGTATCTGCGCTTTTCCTACAAGGACATCGTTCCCCCTTCATTCTTTTGCGAGAATGAACACGAGATGGGCTTGGATCTCCATTACCGTAGTTCACGGAAGGGCTATGTTCACTATGTCATAGGGCAAATCCGCGCTGTCGGAAAGACATTTTATAATACGGACATCGACATTCGGATACACAGCCACGTTGAGACAGAAGACTCGTCGCATGTCATTTTCAATCTCACCTTCCACAATGAAGGATTCAAATCGTCTATTCATAAAGAAGTCGTTGAAACGGACCAGTTTAAGATTCCTGCTTATTTTTTTCGAAGTCTTTTTCCATTTCACATTCAGTTTCAAAAGAACATGAATATTGTAAGCGCCGGTTCGGGCCTGCAGGCAATCATGCCCGACGTCATAGGCAAAGATCTGCTTCAAGTCTTCAATCTACGAAAACCAGTTTTCCAGTTTGGGTGGCAAAATGTAAGTACGAACGGAATGTTATTTCTATATTTATTTTTTTTTTCTTTTGTCTAATACGCAATCGACAGAATTTGCCTAATCGGCTTTTATTTGAATTGTTTTCGATCTAGGGTTCATCGGCTTTTTGCTGCCCTCCTTGTAGGAGATTTCTAATTCTCTTTGTCGCAGCAGAACAAAAAAAAAAAACATAACGAAGAACAGCAAGACTCTAGGATGCTACTTATTTTAAATGTTACCCTCGGGACGATGTTTTAGTTCTTTAAGCTATAGGACAAATCGGTCAAGGTACAGCTTTTATGCATGGGTCCGGCGTAAAATGAACGTTGTCACACGCTGCTAATTTTCAACGTATTTTAACGTTATTAATTTCTTTATTCGATGCTGTGTATGTGTGTGTTTTCATCTGTTTTTATGCATATTATGTGTTTGTATATGTGTGTGTGTATGCACCTAGGAACTAATGTCCAATTTCATTGTATATTGCAAGGTAGGGATGCCTGCCTTGGGATAACGCTCCTGACTGAGAAATTGGAGAGCTGTGTTCGAATTCTAGTCAAGTCACTTACGCGTGAATACCCTTCAGTCCGTTATGTGCCATGCGTGATACACGCTTAGGCGATCATGTATCTTTCGATACATGACTGACGAGGCAGATTTTTTCCCGCAGTAGGTTGCCATTTCTTTCTGCGCTAGATCAGTTGCCATCCAAGGATAGAACACATCTATAGAAACCGGCTACTTACCCATAGCTGGGGGGAAAAGAAGAGGATTCATACCTTCGCAAGAGTATTAGCACGTATGTGAATGTAAGGGATTCGACTGGAATTCGAACTCGGCACTCCAATTCCTCATTCCGAGCCGCTATCCATTACTCCATCTCTTCTCAGTATTTACCTTTGACTCCTCGCTGAGTCAGTTGGTTTTAACGGGAAGATCCATTCGGGCCACTGGTCTTGGCTAGTCATAGCCAGTCGAGAAACCACGCTACGGAACAGACCTGAGGATTCTGTCCAGGCAGCGGGAGAAAAGATGCCCGGCACAGAACAGATGCTACAATAGCAACATGTCCTCCCAAGATTTTTTTCTCTCCTTCTGTCACCAAATTTTGATACTTGCTCCCAGGCGGGGATTCGAACCCCGGTCTTTCACGTGACAGGTTCACCACTATACTACTGAGGACCAACTCTTAATCGATCTCTATGGGTTGATTAACAGGACAGACCGTATCTTATAGCCTTGGTTGGCAACAAGTCTACCACAGAAAGAAACGGCAACTTACTGCGGGAAAATCTTCTGCCTAGTGAGTCATTAATCGAAATGGACATGACTTTTGAACCGTTATATCTTAGAAAGGATTAAAGATATCCTACTAGACTTCTTCGAGGTTTAATAAACACTATTGGACTCTACTTTGAACAATAAGAATGTATACTCTCCAAGATTAACAGAAGAATCGTGAGGAAATCGGAAAATGACATGTTCATCATTAATTAATCATCAATGATCAGAACTGCATGAAGGATTGAAATAAAGTTTATATATATATATATACACAAACAAACATATATACATATATATATATATATATATATATATATATATATATATATATATATATATATATAGTGCTGTTCGATAAAAGTGACTCACCTTATCCTTTGAATTTAGCTCAACTTTCGTTTCATCGGAGAAGAGAACATTCTTTCAGTCTTCTACGGTGAAATTCTTGTAATAGTGAGCCCATTCAAGTCTCTTGGCTTTGTTGGATTTGCTTATTAGCGGCATAAACCTTCGTGTACAAGATTTGTAGCCTTGTTCTAACAAGATTTGTAACCTTGTTCTGACGGACTGTTGAAGAGGCAAGACTAACACCTTGCTCTTCGCTTAGACTGGCTGCAATTTCTTGGCTAGTTATAGTCCTATTCTTCGCAACTTCTCTCTTGATTACCCTGCCAGTTCTATCATCAATCTTTTTCTTTCGTCCTCTTGTTTCCTTCCTTGGAACAAGAGTGGCATCATTATGTGCCCTAAGCACTCGAGAGACAGTTGATTGGGAGGTTATAACAATTTCTGCAGTTTCTCTCGTAGACTTGCCTGCTTTTGAGAGGGCAATAATAGATGCCTTAAGTGGTTCTGATGCGTGTTTGTACACTTCCATCTGGTTAGTGACTTCAGTGGCTATTTCAAGCTGTTTTTATGCTGTATGAGGCTTTCTGGAATACTCTAGATTTAATTTAAGCTGTTCTAGAATTCTCTAAAAATATTGTTCTGAGTGTATTGTAAAATAGTTTTCAATATTTTGTCAAAAGTTCTTTAAATTTACCAGTTTAATCATTAGAATGCGATATCTGAGTCACTTTTTCTGAACAGAGTTTTTTTTCCTGGATCTCATTTATATCCAAATTTATAATTATCAATAGAATACCTTAGGGTGAATAAACTTTTTTCCTAGGTGGTCGGGAAGGGGTCTTTATATTAGTAAGATTCAAAACCTCAAAAACAATAGACAAAAAATATTTTTAGCAAAAAAAATCAGGTGAGTCATTTTATCGAACAGCACTGTATATATATATATATAACTTGTGTCTGCGTATGTGCTGTGTGTCTGCGTATGTGCTGCATATATATATATATATATATATATATATATATATATATAACGTGTGTCTGCGTATGTGTTGTGGCTGTGCTGGTCGGGCAGTGTTTAGCGATTCGGAAAGAGAAAATCGGTGAGCCTAGATCTTTATGTTTTTCTCTAAGGTTCATTCAATAGAAAGCCTAAGAGCCACTCAATGTAGAAGGTTACGTCATAAGAATACGAAAAGACATTCACTTTTGCATTGGGCAAAGCATGAGCCCATCTGTTCTCAATCCTAGCTATGGGTCAAATACCTGGGCCGACAAGACTCTAGTTTCTTGAGCTTGTAACTTCTCAAGTAGAATGAAAACAAGGAATCCAAAAGAGGGGTGATTTATATCAGGTTATCTAGTCATAGATGCACCTCTACTGCGATATCTGCAATTCATGTGGTGTCTTTGTAACCATTACGGGTTAAGGGACTTGTTAAGTAAAATATGTACAACCTGGCGTGTTCGATAGGCATTTCTGCGTGTGTTCTGTATTGACATTATTTCTTTTCTTTTCTTTTTTTTAGACTAAATTTTTGCTTTTTTTTAATATAATTATTTTGTTGCGCCGCAGAATCCAGCCGCTTTACTCTTCGGGCTTCCTCAGCTCTCTGTTGATTTTTTAAAACGTTAAGCATTGTTCTGTGGTATGTATATGATAGGAGCATACGTTTTCCCTTCTCTCACTCGTTATTTCCAATGAGTGTAATTAATCTCCTAAAAATTCTCCTCCTTTGACCTTCAGTTCGAAGAAACGAAATAAAATGCATTTGCGCTTATTCGTTCCAGTGGGTATTTGAGTTTCAAATAGATGAGTCGATCCGATTGTTCAATTTTAGAGAAAGTAAGATATGGCTCATTCTTTTATCAGACATCTCGTTTATTCAATATTTACATGAAACTTTATAACATTAGAATGTTCGCAGATTGTTCGAAATTTACCGAACATTTAATAAAAGGGGTCTGTTGAGTTAAGAAAGTTCGCGGTGTTTTTTTTTAACCCCCGAAAAGAAAAATCGTGCCCGTCCATCTATTTGAAAATCAAAGTTAGGAGGGAGGGTACGTCCGCAGGGCTGTATGTGTGCATGCTTCGTTTTTTGTCTTCTTCAAAATGTTTGCTTCGCAGGAATATTTTCTCGTATATTTATGTCACAAATATTTTGATTACCTTCAAAAAACAAGGAAAACAATTTCGGGATAATTTCCTTTTAGTTTTTTTTTCGTTTTTGTTTTGATTTTTCCTCAGGAAATCTATTTTGTGTGTTTATACGACATAAATAAAAAAAAATGTTTTTGAAGAAATTCTAATTTTGTTATAATTAATTATTTGAAGTCATTGAGTTTTTCTTCAGTGAGATTCCGCGACTGAACAAAAACTAAGGGGAGATAACCTAACTTCTGAAGATTTTTTACTGTTGCTCTTTTGGATGAATTATGCAGTAAGGGTTGATCTATGCTTCTTTTATTTTTATTTTTTTTTTGTTAAGTTTCTCAAACGGTAAGACAAATTCTTAATGTGTGGATATCACTGAAAGATCTACGGTCTAATAAGATTATTTCCTTCAGAAGTTTAATGAAACATTTTTTTTTATCTTTTCATGATGAGCTATCAAGATAATACGCTAATTCGTGGGCAAAACACGAAACAGATCTTAGAAATGCAGTTAACAAGGAGCCCTGAAAATAGCTTGTGATATGAAGTGGAATTTCTTTCGTATTTTATCAATTCAACTGTAGTCGTTTATCTCGATTATCGAGATCTTGTTTGTTCAGATAGTGTCTACCGTAAAATTTAAAATTAATGACTCATAAATGAAGGATTTGCGGATATATGTTTATATGTTCCTTTGTTCTTCTTTTGGAGTGAGGACAGACTAGACACAAACGTACACGAATGACAAATGTAAACTAGTCTACATGGCAACACAGCGCCAGCAACCGTACAATTTATTTAAACTTAATAACTTAAAAAACAATAGATTTACAAGAAATGTTGTCCTTTTTTATTTGAGGAAGGGTGTATTAAAAATACTTTTAAAAACTTAGCGGGCCGGTTCCTCACATCATAAAGGACAGCATTTCATTTATATATATATATATATATTGGATAATAAGTGCGACATTACTGTAATTATTGAACAATATAGTTCATGCCACTTTGACAGAAAATTTACCAGTAAAAAAGAATTCGCTTATCACCATATTTGTACAAGAACGCACAATTGTAAAATTTAAAATCAAACTCAGCGTTGCTACTGCACGCTCCAAAAACAATAACTCATTTCTAATAGCATTTTTCGGATACAACAATACATATATTTTCGTTG